AGGGTTTAGGGTTGAACGTTGGTCCAGGGCTGGTGCAGGAATGGTTTCAGGTTGGGGGCTGTCAACCCCTAAGTCTAGCTGAAGGTTCCTCGAGGATAGCTAGGGGTGGCCGTGTAGGAATCTCCACCACTAGGATCGTGCGAACTGCGCTGCGAGCTTGGGCCTGGTGTGTTTTGTCCTGGAGAGTTGTCTTCCAGGACCCCCTCCTGGGAGGGGGGTCCTTTAAAAGGACAATTTTCCTTCAAAGGGTCCCCCCAAACGTGGCTCCGTGGTCTTTTCGGAGGCCCCACCTTGGTCACGGATCAGCTGGCCGCCGCCTTGGGCACCCGCGGCTGGCTGGTGGACCCCGCGGAGAACCGGCTCAGCGCCTACGACGGGCGGTATCTGCACGGGGTGGTGCCGGGCGCGGGCCGAGCGCCCGAAGCGCCCGAGGGACGAAGGGTGACCTTTATGGTGGCCTTCTGGAAGGAGAAGTGGAGAAGTCGAGACACGGGCGGGTGAAGATTGTGGACGCCAAAGACAGCAGGTCATGAAAATAGGGACCCCCCCAAAAAAAACAAGAGAGGGGAAAAACAAGGAGAGGCGTTCCTTTGGGTTTTGCTGTCAAAACCACACCCAAATGTATGTGTCTACGGCTGGAATGCCAAGGGCTTGGATCCCCTCAAAGGGGAACCCGCGATTTAGTATGGGCCTGGTATCGATCACGTGGAGCCACCAAGATCCAAGAGCGCCCCAGCCTTTTCCAGTTGCCTTGCATGGTGCCTTCCATGGCTAGGGCCAAAGCCCTTCTCAGGTGATCTCCAACTCTTTGGATGTTCCTGAGTGCGCCTTTTTGTTTAGGGAACCCCCAAGAATGCTGGCTTTCTTCTGGTTTCCTTGTCGAACCAACCCCGCAAAGGTGCCCAAAACCGACAGATCCAGGAGATCCAGCAGAGGCCCTTCGGCGCGGATGGGCTTTCAGGCAGCAGCCGCCCACTGCCGGACCCGAAGCTGGGCGAAGTGAAGATTGGCTCCGGGTCCAGTTGGCTGTGGTTGTCAAAACTGTGTTGGGATCCCTTTTGGGGTAGGTGAATTCACCAACCATTTTAGAACCTATTTTGGGATTGGGAGGTTCAAAGGGGGTGAGATTTGGATTTTGACCCATGGCCATTTGAATACCAGGTTTTGATGATGACTCAGATAATTCTAGGGTAGGGGGCGGTCTGAACCACGAAGGGGAGCGACCGCCCAAAGTTTGAATTTTGATTGGCGATTCATTGACTCTCTCTCTTTCTATCTCCTTCTCTCTCTCTCTCTCTTTCTATCTCTTTCTCCCTCTCTCTCTCTCTCCTTCTCTCTCTTTCTCTGTCTCTTTCTTTCTTATTCTCTATTTCCACTGTTTTTCTCTCTTTTTCCTGCTCTTTCTTTCTTTCTTTCTTTCTTTCTTTCTTTCTTTCTTTCTTTCTTTCTTTCTTTCTTTCTTTCTTTCTTTGTTGCTTTCTCTCTCTCTCTCTCTGTCTCTGTCTCTGTCTCTGTGTCTTTCTCCTCTCAGGCCGATTTCTGTATGTGTGTGGGGCACTGGGCGGTACTCACTGGGAGGGACGCGGGGGGCGGGAAAAAAAGCACTTACACATTTTCCATACGAAAACAACTAGAGGGATTCCAAATCCCCCCCCCCCCTCACCCCCCTACATTCTTTGCGCATCCTTTCGCCGTGGCTGACTCAGGCAGGCGCCGTTCCAGGCGGGGCCCCGCACTTACACCTGGCACCAGCAGCTGGCGAACCCCAGCGCGGAGGAAGCCTCTGCTTGCCCTCAGGCGGTGGACGTGCGCTGCAAGAGCCCGGTGTGGCCCGGAGAGATTGGAGCCCCGAAGTTTAGGACCAATGCGATCGCGTCAATTGGCTGTTCTCCTTAGCCTTTTGGTCAAAAGCCTCCAGGCTTGGCGTAGTCCTATCAACGTACCAGGAATCAAGGCTACGACAACCTGGGTCAATGTCTAGCATGTGACGGCTCCCGAGAAAAGAAGAAACATGAAGGGGAATCCTCCAGTTTCCAAAGTACAACACCCTGGGTCAATGTCTGGTATCATTTGACAACTCCCTGTTACCCGATACAGAAAAGGAAGGGAAACGTTCAAACACTCCTCGTTTAGTGGACTTTTGAACCCAGGGTCAACATGATGTTTGTATCTTAATTTGTTCACTTCTGGAGTAGTTTGTATTCTTGATTTGTTCTTAATTC